TATATATATATTTTTTTTTTCTATTGACATGTTCCTTTTCTTCAAAAGATCATTGTTAATTATTACAGGTTTCTCGGATGCCGCTCGAAAAGATGCCTTGACGAAGAAACCGTTGGATCTCGAGGAAGAGGACGAGGCGAGAAAATTCGAAACATCGAAGTGGCTGGAAAGCCATTTCGGCAGCGATTCGCGTTCTTCGCACGGATCTCTCGATGCCGATGACTCTCCTCTTCCAACCAACACTAACACGAGCTACATCAATGTCACCATGAAATCTTGCACGCCCAAGGAACGCGATTATCAAAATGTAAGTTCCAACCGCAATCAGCGACGTGGTCGAGAGACGAATTCGCCTTCAGGATATTTTCATGGAATCAGCGAATGGTCGGAACGATATCAAGGAAAAGGTATGAAAAAAAGAACAATTTATTAGGAAAAATAATTTTTTAATATTAATTCTCTTTCTTAAAACAATTTTCTTCTAATTTTACATAATAATTTAAATATTCTAACACATTTTAAGGAGTAACTTTTTCCAGTAATTTAAAAAGAAAACTTTTTAATATATGAAAGACCATATGTTCGAAAAGCTTAGTTTCAAAAATAAAATGTCAAAATTGAAGGGAAAACTTTGTTTTTCTAAAAATTTCTATAACCATTATTTTGAGATGAAACTTGAAACTTTGTGTAAACTTTAACATGAGAACTCGTTTTTTAAAATGACCTATTATTTTTTTTAAAATTAGATAGATCTAAAACTAAGGATATCTTCAAAACTAAGCCGTTTTGGACATGTGGTCACATCATGTTTTTATTTTGAATTAACATACGAGAAATCGCTTCTTAAAATCTTTAAAAACATTTGATCCTCTCATATAATATTGTTTTTAGATGTAATATAAGTTTGTAAAATTAAAAAAAAGAGAGATAACAAAGATATGTTATTACATAAACAATATTTAGAAGATAATCTTAAATGTACATTATGTGTATATATTCTATATATAATATATATATATATAACAATTTTGTTTCGATAAATATCAAATAATATATGAAATGGAAATGTGAATATAATGTATTGTATACAGAGAAGCAAAATCACGCACGATCAAACTCTCCAGTTCGATACGTGGAATCTTCACGTACCAACGGACATGCCCACGGGCATAAGAGAAATCAAGTTGAATCATCTTATTCGAAAACTTACGAATCGTTCCGACGTGATTATCAGGATTCTGTCGAAGAACGACAATGTACACCTTCCCCACCGATACGTCGAAGATCGAAAGAACAAGTACGAACATTCCTCTTCATTATGCTAATAGCAATAGTTCTAAAATTTATAAGAAAATACATAATATTAAATGCAATGGAAGTTTATATTCTTCAAATTCTCTCTCTTTTGTTTATTATAAATAATTTATATTTTACAATAATTTATAATTAATCTATATATAGTTCATTAAATTAATTTATATTGATTTAATAACTGATAAAATATATATTTCATTTTGTGTTTCGCTACGTTATACGAATTATTGATACATAACTGAATTATTAACAATCTTTTTATAGTGGGCAAAATCTGAAGAAAAGATCAATTCGAACGAGCTCCCGTCAGGTCGCACTTCAAGTCCGGTACACGTGGTACAAAGAACTTGGGAGAGTCGTAATCGCGACGTTCAAGCACAAACACCCGAACGCAATTATAGAAATACCTCGCCACGATCGCGATCAATCTCGCCGAAATCGCCGAAAAATAGTCGCGAAGAAAAAAAGTCAGATAGTTCACGAGCATCTAAGGGTAAATCTTCTTCGTAATTAATTGATAGAAGCAATAAATTAAAAAAATATTTAAATTAAAAATTTATGAGTGTTAAATATTTTAATTAAAAATATTTTTAATTAAATCAAACTATTATTACGATCGAATTGGAAAACAAATAAGTAATAAAATAAAAGCCGACTAAAGAAAAATTAAAAATAAAAGTCGAATATAAAAAATATTATGAGAGCATTAAAGAGGAATATTATCAACATTATTATTATTATTATTATTATTGTGTATGTATTAAATATTACTATCTGTTCATCTAGGTCATGGGCCTAAGTATAAGATCGGCGAATCCTTTCGGAAGCTGGTGGGCAAATTACGTTCAGCTAGTACGGAGAGGAAGAACAAACGGACAAGCGGTGGTTCTACCTCACAATTGACGCAGACCGATGACAATGGCCCGACCTATCTACAATACAACGTGATCGACAGGAACATTCCTTTCGTCAGCGAAAGGGACACGATGGAGAACAAACCACCGGAAAGACCACCGCGATCACCGCGAAACGCTAACACGTCGAGCAAAGTTACGAAAATCATCAGGACGGCTGATCATGGTATCCAGGAATGGCAACGCAGCGAATCTACGCCACCACCCCTGCAGAGGTATTACTTGGGCGAGGATCCTTTCGGCGGCAGTATCTACGGACGTGAAAAAGGATACGAGAACGATCGAGACCGGCTGCGACACGGAAGACCACGCGGCTCCGGTAAAATTGCCGTAGATTCCGAACACAGGTAATCGAAGTACTCGACATAATGAGAGCGAGACAAATTTTGACTGATAAGTTATCCCCTACTTAAATTCGATCGCTATGCTTACTGCCCTTTATCGTTATTGCGCTTGTTGAAATATCTTTACATCTTTATTTAACACTGTACAGTGGTCTCTTCTGTAAAATATTACAGGTCTTCTGTCTTTCTCTTGTCTGGTTTTTTTCAATTGGTAAAGAGTTACTATTTAAGGCTCATGAGGGAGTTTGTATGGATTAAGTTACAGAAATAGATCAGATGAGATTTATTTTGGAAGTAGATAATTTTGGTTTAAAGGTATAGGAAAACGAAAGGAGGAATATTATAGAATTATGAATGATGGCGTTGATTTTCACCAAGGGAAAATCGATTGTGAATTGAAAGTGTGAGGGATCTAACTTAATCCGAGACACTCTACATAACTATCTATGCATGAAACGTTTATCAAGAATGACATGGTGTTCCAAAGATATTTCACGCTTTCATTGTCAGTAAAAATTTGTCTCTCGGTTAGAATTTGTCATCATGAAATAGACGACGAACTTGCTATCTCATGTCGCTCGATCGCCAAAGACGGAGTTAGTTGTGCAAGCTTCAGGAGCCAAAGTGCGAAGTCTAAATCGGGCCGCTTGGGTATATCTTTTAAATCGAAATTCGGCGACTCCGTGCTTCGATTTAGGGTGGAGGCTGCATGAAGGGACGCATGGGAATCGAACGTATATATGACTCGATAGACTCATTCGATCGTCGCCGCCGCAAACGTCGACGAGAGAAAAAATCCGCACGACTAGCCAAATCACCTTTCGGAAACAACCGCGTTTCAGCGTCGCCTCCAGCTCCCTCGGCAGATTTAGCAAATCCACTAGCAGACTGGTTAGCGATCAAGAGAGGGAGGAGCACTTCCGGACCACCCAGACGTTACCGCGAAGCCTGCATTCCGCCGGCGGTGAACAGTCAGCTCGTTCTCAGACCAGACGATACCAGGCACCGAACATCGGCAGATACGGCAAAATGAGTCAACATCATAGCAGCATGATCAACATATCGATCAAGAACACGGTGAACATGTCGCCAAAAGTGAACGCGACGCCTGTTTACAGCACTCTTCAGGCTCCACCGAAACCCGAACGTACGTACAAATCATCGCTATCACGCAGCAAAAGCTTTAACGTCGAGGCCGGCAAGAATGGCGTCGACGCACCAATCCGTGTACCGTATACCTCCAATTTGCACCTTAATCGCCTGGACGAAACGCCGCCGTTGAAGAGTCCTGGTATTCTTGCCAGCATTAGCCGTAGTAACAAAGATTTATTAAGAGACGGCAAATATTAAGGTCAGTGACGTAATAAACTGTATATCCTTTCGGATTACGTTAAATTACTATCCTTCCCCGCGAATATATTATAAATAAAATCTTAATTTATCTCAAAGCGATGTAAAACTTAGGAGAGAAGCTACTGGTAAAGTAATGAATTAAACATTTGTATTTTACATATATATATTATAGATTCTGCTGCATGATATGCACGTTTTCATGAATTATTTAATAAAATGAATTATTTAATTAAATGAATTAGATCTATTGAAGTTAAGGAACGTAGCGAAAGCTACGTTCTTAGAAATCGATTATATAGAATTATTAAAGTAGAACCGATAACAATCGCTAAACCTTCTGATATATTACAGAATGTTTCTTATATCTTTAACGTTTACGTGCCACGTATTTTCGACATTTAAATTACTGACATTCTCATAAAACAAAATATGTGAAGGTCGTTAACTATTCTTAATATATAATGTACAGAATGCTCTTCATTACTGTATATTTCTTGTATTTTATTAATATTTTTTTCGGCAATCTGAAGAATTTGTTTCATGAGCAATCATGTTAATAAAAACAACAATCTTGAAAAAAAGCACCGCATACAGGATATTCTGTACATCCATTACCGCACATATTTTTTATTAAGAAATAAATATATGTACGAGTTTCATATAGATGCGATATTATTTATATTGTTCATATTGTTGATTTACAATAATATAATATGAATATACATATAAGCAAAAGTTCTCTATGCATATTAATTAATTGCTATATCTTTTATTTAAAATGTTACGTACATTATAACACATAAAAATTCATTCGATTGTTTGCACTGTATAATATGAAATAATGTGAAAAAAAATACTTTAATCTCTTTCATTAAAAATATTTGAGAATTATGTTTATCTGAATCATTTATATTATATCCAGCAAACAACGAATATAACATATACACTTGTTATATATCTATGTTATATTAATTGTTTGCTGGATATTTACATTGTATAAATTCTATAAAAATAGAGAATAATAAAAAAAAAGTATTAAAATATTTTTTGATCGATCGTAAAAAATATAATTCTTTTTTATTTTTATTTCACCTTTTTATGCGTATCGTCTGAGTCTAATTTTTGGAATTTTCGGAATTTTTTGATAGCGAAAAATGTGATCACCGCGTTTATAATGTACATGCTAATACATACAACGCAGATATCTCTATAGAAACATAATATATAACTTAAGTATATTGACAAAATATTAGACATTATTCCCAGAATAACAATGGCGACCGAAAAGGTGTAATTATTAATCATATCTGAAAAAAATAATTTCGTTATTGTTATGTAAGACATATGTATAGACACGTAGGCAACAATGATTGAATACATACTTAAAATTGCGATCAGAGTATAAAATATTAAACCATATATAGGATTTCGGATGTTAAACACAGAATCTTTTGGAAACAATCCGAATCCCTTGCCATACCTGAAATACGACACATTAATTCTTTACTTCTTATTTTGTATATGTTTGTCTGAAATAATTTTACGATTATTCATGCACAATTATCAATTATAATTTCACGTCGTGTTATTTTGTATTTTATCTAAGTTTTATTTTCGTTACGTTTTATAAATCTCAGTATATATTATGGCTTAAACATTCGCGCGGCTGAAGGCAGCAATTATGGCTGAACACGCATGTCATATTTATTGTTACTCCGTAGGAGTAATGAGCCTTCTCAACAATAAGCCATTAGTCATAAATCAGAAATCAGAAATTAAAAATTGACCAAACAACAGTTATCAATTTTTAGCTTCTGATTTCTAATTTATGATTAATGGTTTATTGTAAAAGGTCTGTAAAGAGTGTAGAAAGTTTATAAAATTTCACCCATGAAATGCATAACAAAGTATAACATAAGACCGCTAAACCAATGAATCTTATGTAAATCAATATGGTGACAGTATGCTAGATGCTCATTGGTCCAGCAGTCTTATGTCATGCTTATGCTCTGTTGTGCATTTCATGTGTGAAGCCCTTTAAGGCCGTAACACCGACTCTTGCATAATGCATAGAGCATAAGAGAATCAA